GTCTTTAAAAATCTTAAATTTCACATCAGGATTTCTGCAGACACCCTGGAGAGTGAATTAAGCCGGTTAAACACGCAGAGCGCGAGGAGGAAACATATACCTAACTAAGATTGATATGCATTAGACACAATCATTTTATCATATGGATCAGTAATTTTTATATTATGTTTAGTCAGGGACGGATTATGGGTTGTGTGGGCCCCTGGGCAAAACGTTCGCGAGGGCCCCCCCCCCCACCACCAGCACCACCACCACAACCACCACAATTCAAGGGCCCTTGGCAGCCAAACGCCCTCCCTCCATGTTTCCATCAGAGGCCCTATAGGGTCAGGGGCCCTTGTAGGCAGAGGATCAAAGAATGTAGGCCCTCTAAAATAGACAAACGAAAATACATTGTTGATAAGCGTTGCAAATTGTTTTGGGCTAGGGGCCCCACGGGCCCCCTGCACCCCAAGGGCCCCTGGGCAGCGGCCCCGCTGGCCCGGTCCGTAATCTGTTCCTGTGTTTAGTTGTGAAACTGTACCCATAGCGATGCTACGTCTTACATGGCATCCTTTCACGCTGTGTTGCATGTGTGCCCATTGCGATGTTACGTCTTACATGGCATCCTTTCACGCTGTGTTACATGTGTGCCCATAGCGATGTCACCATGCCCCCTCGCCCAGCTGTTGAATTATTTGAGTACATATTGTTTTACAGCATATTGCTCATTTCACTGACGTGCAATCCGAACAGTGGGGGCCACTTGCGGTATAAGCTGACAACATTGATCAGTGACAGCAAAGAGTGGTTCAGATAAACATCACGAAAGTATCTCTTTACTTCACTATAGTGATGTTTCGGAGAACACCTCGGAACGTTAAGGTATAAAGTTAAAGTAGAACTTACGAATGACAGAGCACCCTAATTTGTTATTGGTGCTTGCTAGAATGGCACTGATTTGAGAAGAGCAACCTTCTTAAAAACATTAAAAACGTTTTTATTGATATGACCTCCTGCTGCAGCGGTAAGGGTGAACTTAAAACTTACGGGGTACCTTGAAACTGCAACATCACGATTACATCATCGGCCAAACAGCTGAACGATACGTCACAGGTTGAAGAATGTTGGCACCTCCTTGTGCACTGAACTGTGGGTGCATCTGCTTGCCAGCAGAGGGAGAAATGTGTCAATTAAGCAGCAATTTTCGTGTTAATTCCCAAGTTAAGGTTATAGGCCGCTCTGTATCTATGTGCGATGTTACTGTGAGTTGTATGTCCCACTGAAGGTTGCAAGCTCAGAGTAGAAAAATAGCTTTAATTTTATAGCCAAATGGAATAATTATTCTATGAATCTATCTAATGTTTTGTCTAATTCAATAAATAGGTTTAGAACATTGGCGCTAACAATGGCAAAATTATTTGAAAGCGCATGATCATGACCATTTAAAACGGGGAAAATTAGTATTGAACGTGTCAACATTTTTCTCAGTAAATATATTTCTAATGGGGCTATTGACATGAAATTTACACCAGATGTAGGTAACAACTCTAGTAATCCACAAATACAAAGAAATCAAAACAAATAAGTCCATAAATTAATTTATGTGTAATAAAGTGAAACGACTCAAGTATTGAACAGGCTTATTGAAATTTATTTAAAAGCCTTTGTTGGTAATGACAGCTTCAAGACACCCTCCTTAATCGATGCCTCCTCCTGCAAGTTGCATGCAGTACATTAGTTAAGCAGGACCTACCTCTCCTAAATCCATGCTGGCTATCCCTCATTTCATCTTCAGCACCCTGGTAGATGTCTCAGTACATGTCTCCATTCGTCCTTCCTTCGCTTATATGAAGTATGCCAGTACCAGTATTTCATTGGCTTGTCCAAATGTTGTGCAGCAAACCTTGAATGAGCTTCAGCATGCTTCAGCATCCTCAGCAGTGGAGTCTTGCACGGTGAGCGTGCATAGAGGCCATGGCGGTTGAGTGCATGACATTGTTTTCTTTGAAACAACTGTACCTGCTAATTCCAGGTCTTTCTGAAGTTCTCCGCGAGTGTCCCTTGGCTCTTGGACAACTCATCAGATTATTCTTTTGACTCCTCTGTCAGAAATCTTGTGAGGAGCACCTGGTCTTGGCAAGTTTATGGTGAAATGATGTTCTTTCCACTTTCGGATTATGGCCCTGACGGTGTGCTCACTGGAACATTCAGAAGTTCACAAATATGCCTGCAAGCAATGCCAAAAGTATGTTTTGCAACAATCAGGTTGAGAAGGTCTTGGGTGAGCTCTTTGCTTTCACGCATCATGAGATGCTTCTTGTGTGACACCTTGGTAATGAGAAACCTTTTTATAGGCCATCAATTAGGACTAAACCAGCTGATATTAATTTGCACTGATAGGGGACAGGATTGCGTTCTAAATGCTGACAGATTTCAGATGGTTTCCTGGCTTTCCGTGCCTTTACCTCCTTTTTCTTCATGTGTTCAATACTTATCCCCTGTGTCATTTTACTTTATTACACATAACATAATTTATGGACTTCTTTGTTCTGATTTCTTTGTATGTGTGGTTTGCATTGGGTTGTCACCGACATCTGGTGTAAATTTCATGTCAATAGCCTCATTAAAAATATATTTACTGAGAAAATTGTTGACACGTTCAATGCTTATTTTCCCCGCTGTATGACTAAAGCATAATCATCACTGATTAGTTGTATCTTTTGTTTTCCTATGTGTGCATCTTGGAGAAGTTTGCTATTGTGCTGACGTGCAGCCTGTTGCAGCAGCTCCCGTCACCGAAATTTCCCTTGGTGGGATTAATAAAGTTCACCTAATATAATGTAATCGAATTTTGCTAATATCTAAATGTCCTTTCCTATACCAATGCTGTGTCACTTCTGACTGCCAAACTGATAGAGAGCTAATGTGGCATTATTACAAGTTTATGTATGAATGTTATGAATGATTTTATGTATGTTGTGAATGATTGCATCAGTATTCGGACCTCATTGCACAAATGATGGTTCCTTCTTTATTTTCAGAAACATACTCATACCTACCTACAATAAGACACAAGAGAACCAGCACTCAGTTAACAATCTTGTGTGCGTGTGATCTGACCGACATCCCATAGCTACCCATCAGAACCCTTTACAATATAACGCCTTTCCCGAATAGTCACAATATAAACACATACTCATTATTCGAGAATTCAAGAAAATACACCTGATGGAAGGACTTTTACAGGAAAAGAGATGAATAAATTTAAATGCAGTTATCGAATCTATCGCAACGAATAAGAAGGTATTCTTGCGGTAGTGGTTGTTTGTTGTATTTGTATAAATCTGCAGTACAGCATTACGTCAAACCAATATAACAGAGACAGGATGAAGAAAGACAAATGAAACAAAGGTAGACTTAATAAAAGAGATACAAAGTAAACACGTACTTTTTTTTTTTTTGAAGCAGTGCCCTTCAAAAACGGTGCTTCTTTTTTTACGCTGAGCGTTGAATATTCACGTATTTATGAATTCTACGAATCTAAGTGCTTGGTTTAGCATAGGTACAGCTGCTGAACAACAGTGCCGTGGAAGAAAACGAAACACGTTAAGAGAAACCGGCAGTAAAAATGCCGCAGGAAAATTCCAGTCTAATTAAATAAAAAACGAAACTCAGATTCCACGAGTACACATGAATTATACTTAGGTAAAATATCCAGTGTCATAAATTAATTACAATTTCACTGAACTTTCTTTTTCTTTTTAAAAAATATTTGTATGATAGACCGATCGTACAAATGAGTACAATACCAAAACTCCTAAAACAGCTAAACGTAGCCCAACTAAGCGTTTTTGTATGGAAACAATGACTGATAGACATTAGCCCACAAGCGTCTACAATCGACTGGGAAATGAAACGTGTTGTTTCGCGCATTTCGAAGTCTTTTTCAATTAAGAATTGCTTTTTACCCGGGCGGTGTGTGTTCGGGGGGAGTCAAACCCTATTGGGTGATATTATAAGCTAATATTATAATGTAAATCTTAGAATCACCCCTGATTACGCGCGCATTACATTCAAGGACTGAAGGGTTTTCGTCACATGTAAGGAATACAGTCAAACTATATAACCTGCAGTGAAATGAAATGTGGTCAACACCGCCAAAATAAAAATTATGACAACAAATAAAGACCAAAAAGAATATCATAATAAATTTGTAATTAACGTGGAACAGAACCTTATGCTCATTATGCTTGATTCTGGCTGATTTTAATATATTTTAATATAAAATATTAATAGCCTATATTGTAATATAATTAGCCTGCTCTGTAACATGTCGTTTATTTACATAACTTATTCACATAATTTATTTTTTGTTTTGCACTTTTTTGATTTATTTTTGCGAATACATTTAGATTTTTATAGTTTTTTTACTCTACGTGTTTTCCTGTCACATTATTTTGGCTTTTAACTAACTTTACAATTCATTAAAATGTAAATAATGGCATAATTATTACTGGAAATAGGCCTATCATATATTTTAGTTTATAAGATAATATATAATATATGTACTTCATCATTTTCGATTGTTGGATGAATTAACACAATGATATTTTCTATTTTTAACCTGTAATTCTTGTTTCTTCATGCTTTCTTTTTTATGACTCAACAAACCATATAACAAGTAATAAGCAGGAAACTAATTGAGATTAAATTAAAAAAGTTGCAAAGCAAAGACGTGGAATTGCTTCAAAATATCCCGAGTCATTACTGAATAAGATTTCATTGAATTTGCGCCACATAGGTTTCCATTTGTTGATATTTGTATGACATGCAAATTTGTATTAGGCCTGTACCAAAACCGCCCAAACGGATAAAGGTGTGGAAACAATGACGGTCTGCAAAAGCGTCTGCAAAAGACGTGAAAATGAAACTTAGGCTTATTTTTCCACGGATTCTTAATTCTGTCTAATAAAAAATGCATCCGTACCACCACATATAAATTACCGAAAATGCAATGATCCGTCCAGAACAGCGTAGGCCAACTGTGCGTTAAAAAGTTTGGATGCTGTTTACTTTAGAACATTATTGGCCTTTCAGTATCCAGTTTTAAAAGGACATTATTTTAATCCACAAATCATCTATAACAATGACACTTAAATCACTATATATTTCCTCTTGGGTTTTCTTTGTCTTTGGCCTTTCGCAGGTTTTGCCCATGCGCACAAAGTGCCACTTGCATGGGAAGCTGATAGAAAGGAGCCATACACTTTTGAGCAAAGCGGTGAGTTTAATGCCGTCCACTCCTGATGGGCGACCCAGCGTTGTTTGCTAACTGAGATTTGGCTTTCTGCGCGTTTTGTTTCAGGGTGGACGTTTTCCCCCAAAATGCATTGGGGAGATGGTTCAGATTCCTTTCCCAGGATCTGTTTTCAGGTCTATCAAGAACACGGAGGTAGGCCTGCCTTTTTATTTATGCAGAACACTGCAATACAGATGAACAGGTAGGATAAGTATTGTTAAAATGGGACAATTTCTGGAAAACTCATCTCAACGTCTTGAAACCCAACTTGATAGCATTCTCAATATGTTAATGTCCCTTTGAACATATATATATATATATAAAAGTATATATTAACTGCAAAGCTAAACTGTACCATTTCCCAAATATCTCATTTTCACATTTTCACCGTAGTCTTAATTTTGAAATTGTATTAATGTTTAAGGAATTTCAGTATTCAATATTTCAATGTACAATCTGATTTCTGCTTTGTGGGACCTAATTATAAATCAAGTGTAGGAATTTAATAATGAAACAATTTAATAACGTATGAAACAAATTAATAACGTATTAATAATTCTCGCCGTTTGTAGCAGGAAACAGGTGTAAAGCTGGCAATTTGTGAAACTTTGAACAACATCATTTCACTGTTTGGAAATGGGGATCTACCAGAAGAGTATGACTCGACGATGCTTGACGAATTCCAGCATATCATCTTCCGTCTAGTTAATGAGACGAGCAGATGTGTAAGTGAAATGTAACATCGAAGATGCTCACCTGAACGATGTGCAGTTTATTATGAACATAATAATAATTAAAGCGCATTTAACCGAAAATTCATGAAAATTAATTTCTTAAATTAACATGTTTTTCACTAAGTGCTTGCACTAAGTTTTTGTTACTGAATTTAATACTGTGCTGCTATGCTCATTGAAGACGATGGACATCAAGGTGAAAAGCGAGGCCAGGATCGATATCGCTGATAGAAAAAAACTGTTGAGACAATACTTCAAGAAGATGGCAGCAGTTTTACAGCAAAAGGTATGAACAAATGCAACTAATATAAAATATCAAATTAACGGAATGTAACATGCGATATTTCTTCTCCTTTAATGAAAAACGAAAGCTATTGACGATTTTTCTGCAATAGGCTATAGCATTCACTGACTGAGAAATGTGTGTGGTTTTGTTTCCCTAGAGCTTCAGTTTTTGCGCATGGGAAATCGTCAGAAAAGAGATTATTCATACGCTGCGCTTCATACTGGACCACGCTTCTGACTCGCTTTTCTGGTTAAACAGAACTTAAAGCCAGGATTTTCAGCTTAACCCGGTGAATCATCTTGTAGTATGATTTGGTTTTTCACAAAAGCTTCGTGACTGCGGTCATTAATCAAGAACTTTCGTTTTTCAAAATCTATCTATTTATATTTATCTATTTATTAATCTATTTATTTATCTATTTATTTAACTATTTATTTATTTATTTGCTCGTTTGTGTATTTATTCATTTGTTTTTTATTTATTTGTTTGTGTCCAGTTGTCTATGCAAGACCAGTTTTTGTTTTTTGAATAAACTGAAATTTATGCAATGCATAAATTGTTTTGATTACTCAAAATCGTCCATCCATCCATTAACTGCCGCTTGTCCGGGGTTCAGGTCGCGGGGGTAGCAGCTTCAGGAGAGATATCCAGACCTTCCTCTACCCAGCTACCTCTACCAGCTCCTTGGGGAGGTCAAATTATCATAATCTTTCAATGGTGTTACAATACGTACAATGTGATGAAAATAGGATCGATAATTTAGACCGTGTCTGTCAAAGTGTGTTAGCCTAATCATTTCCAAAGTTCTCTAAAATTCACTCCAGCATGTGCAGCAACCATGCAACACATCCATGTGTTTTTTGAGTCTATCACTATCACACCTTGTTTGGCTAATCAATACCTCACTGACTTTTTAAAACTTAACTAAAGTAATTAATCAAGTGAGCTGGTGGTGAAATTTAATTAATACAATTTAATGGCTAGGATGCCCCTGAGGAGAGGTTTGAGAACCAAAACAGTTCTTTTCCAGCTATTCAAAAAGATCATTTTCAGCAGAACAGAAGGAGTTCTTGCTAGCTTTTATTGCCAGTCAGCTTGCTCTATTTGGAGTCAGAACCTATCACAGAGGCTGTAGGCACAAGGTAGGGAACACCAACACACCACACTCACATCGGCACGGAACACCAACACACCACACTCACATCGGCACAGAACACCAACACACCACACTCACATCGGCACAAGGCAGGGAATGCATCACACTTCAGTCACTACTATAGGCACACCCACAGAGAGTTTGGTAACACCAGTTGACCTCTGTGTATTTTTGGACTGTGGGGGGTATCTGGAGGAAACCCCATGACGACATGGGGAGCCATGAAAACTCCACATGTATAAAACCCTGGCCGAGACTTGAACCCACGCCCCAGGAGTGGGAGGCAGCAGTGCTAACCACTGCACCATCATGCCACCCGAAGCATTTGTTGTGTTAGTCTTAATTTACATATGCTCTAATGTTAAATTGCGGTTTTTGGTCTGAGCGAAACAGAATTCCTCTTGTTGTGTAAGACTTTTGCACAGTACTGTCCCAGATAAATTCCCAGATATTGAGAGGCTGACAATAAAGATCTCTTGACTCTTGAATGAAATTATAAAGAATGGGAGCAGTACTACAGGAAATATCTTGTATACTGTATTGTGTTGTACCTAATCATTTTCAATTTCTGGATAATGTGACCCAGTTACACTTTGAACCTTTATCTTGTAATTATTGCTTCATGTTTTCTCTTTATAATTTAACAAGTCATATAACAAGCGAGAAGCAGGAAACCATCAGAGATTTAATTTTAAAAAAATGAAGCAAAGGTGTAATTTCTGTACTCACACCTTTCAGTCCCCGTGATTTGGTAACATGTTTCTGCGCACTCAATGTCAAACATTCTGCATTTATGACTGCCGCGACTCTACAGTAAGTGTCCTATCCAGTATAGCTACAGCTGCTGGACAACACAGTGCTATGTGTAAAACAAGCAAAAAACGGTGAGAGAATCATGCTTGAAATAACGTAACAGAAAAATCCCAATAAAAAAACAAAAGCCAGAATCCACCAGTACAGAGGGAAACACATATGTGTGAAACATATGAGACAAATCCACAAGCAAAAATATATTTATGCCATTAACCAAAAGAAAAAATTACTTTCAGTTATGTAATTTTTTGACTCTGCCTTTGTGTGTGTGTGTGTATATATATATATATATATATATATATATATATATATATAGTGGATTAGGTTAACCAAATGTCCCCCACAATGTAATAAAAACCTGTTTTTTTATGCTGTGGGCACCATTTTCCAGGTCCTCACAAAGATCTGTGAATGTGTGAATGCAATCAAAAAACTAAAAATGTTTGGTTATTTATCGTTAAAGTTAGGGTGGGGTAGGGTTAAGGTCGTCATGTGGGGATTAGAGTTTTCCCCATAGAAATGAATGGAGAGTCCCCACAAAGATATAATTACAAACCTCTGTGTGTGTGTGTGTGTGTGTGTGTGTGTGTGTGTGTGTTTCTTTAAAGTTTAATTGATTAGCGTCAACTCTTGTCTAAACTTTTAATTCTGGGATAACCAACAACATAGGTGCTGAGTGTCAGGCTACAGCATTTGAAATACCTGTCCACATACAGTTCTTCTCAATTACTTTGGCACGTTTTATGAAACATGCTTGACTTTCTAACAACTATGACAGTATTTCTTAAAACGGTTTATTAATACTGCAGTTTGTTTAAGCTGCAAGAGGCCATAACTCACCCACAACAATTAGGCCAAACTCATGTCTCAAAACCAAATTATTCTGTCAATGAATTAGTCATGCAAATAAAATGAAATGCAGGCCTGCCTTCATCATCGATCTCCACAATTCTCAATGATAGTCGTTTCCCGCTTTCTCAGTTTCTCACTGATCATTTTTCTTTAGCAAACCGATTGTTATTCATGTCAAAGACACCAGTTTTAACATCACAAGGCTCCACATTAGAGTATGTAATGTTCAAAAGAAAGCACTTACATGTACTCACATAACGTCTTCATGTTTTTACTGAAATAGTCTCAAGATACGTTATACAACAGCATACAAAAAACTCATACAGCACTGTGTAAGACCAAAACAACAAAATACAACAATGATGTATCACTGCAATATATGGAATACACTTTTGAATCATACTGAAAGTTTGGTGAACTGTTTTGCATGTGGCGGTTTGCACGATGATTGCATACATATAGAGATTTGGATGTAAAATAATTTCACCAGGAATCTACATAATGCATTTTGACCAGTAATCCTGGATTACACTCATTGTTTCACAAATGTTAATTGTCATTTGAGAACCGTGCTAAAGCAATCAAGAAAAACAAAAAGAAAAGATGAAAAACAAAGTGAATTTAATAAAGAAAAAGATTTTCGTTGCAAAAATACTGAGCCAAGGGATCTTTTTGTATGGAAACAATGATGGACCAACTCAAAGGTCTGTAAACAACATAAAAATAAAACATTGATTCATGCATTCTTACTTAAAACATGTTATTCATCTGTTGCTCCACATCACATATAAATTATTGACACACGTATTAATCTGTCGAGTACAATGTACTGCATTTTAAAAAATTAGTATGTTGTTTTAGCTCACTGGTCGCTCTTTTAATATAGCGTTAGTACTTAAATCACTCTATATTTGCTCCTGGGATTCCTTCACCTCTGGGTTTTTTGCAGCTTTTGTCTGTGCCCGTGACGTGCCATCTGCATAGAAATCTCATGCGAAGGAGCCACGCACTTCAGAAGAAAATCATCAGTTAAACGTTTTCCACTCATGATGGGTTTCCTAAAATGTTTACTTTTCATGTTTCTATTCATGATTTGTACCTTTACAATATTACAAAGCAGAAAACACAAAATATCTACGCCACCGTTCAAAAGTTTGTGGTCACTTTGAAATTTCCTTGTTTCCGAAACAAAGGCAAATTTTTTGTCCATTAAAATAACATCAAGGTTAATCAAAAATACAGAGTAGACATTATTCATTTTGTGAATGATTATTGTAGCTGAAAACTCACGCAGATTTTTAATGTAATATCTATAATGGTGTGCCCACTCTCAGCAACCATCGATCCTGTGTTCCAGTGGCATGCTGTGTTTGTAAATCCAAGTTTATCATTTTAAAAGGCAAATTTGATCATTAGAAAACCCTTTTGAAATAATGTTAGCACAGTTGAAAACTGTTTTGCTGATTTAAAAAAAGCAATGAAATTGACTTTCTTTAGATTAGTTGAGTATTTGGAGCATCAGCAGTTGTGGGTTCGGTTGAAGATTCAAAATGGCCAAACTTTCTTCTTAATTTCATCAGTCTGTTCGTGTTCTGAGAAATAAAAGCTATTCCACAGGAAATTTCTAAGTGATCCCAGACTTTTGAACATTAGTGTACATATCACTATAAAGTAAAAAAAAAATGCCTACACAGTATGCATTAATAGGAAATAAACAATAGTGAGTACAGTACACCAAAGCAATATAATCACTGGATTTACTGGAAGACCATGAAGAAATATTGTATAATTACACAACTGTTTTTCCTCTTGAATGTTTGGATTAGATAACACTATGGATGGACTCTCTGTATGCTACACTCTCTGATCGGCATTCATCATTGGCAGACCATAGTTACAGTAAGTGGTCTATGGTGGTGGCCTGCTGTCACTTCCAAACCTGACCACCAGAGGAAGCCAGGGAGCAGCCTCAGATACTCTCACTCTAGTTCAAAAGCCCACTGGTGGCAAGGAATGGGCGACATGGGCAGCTGCATCTCGCTTGGGGGGGGTGGCAGCATGGGGCACCCGCTCAAAATAATAGAATCAGAGTGGTGATATCTGGCGATCGGTTTTCTACTGCTCATATGCACATCACGTCCAGGGGGGTCGGAAATAGCGGGGACTGGAGGATGCGACCCCCCTCAATATCAACAGACCCCCCCACCCCACTACACCCCAGTACATGAACAGATATCTATTTAGGGATGAACAACATTGTGAAAAAAGATCATGCTTTTGGGTTTTGCGGTCATCGCTCATAAGGTCAGATTTTGCTATTTAACTTGTTTCTGTCACAATACAGATGAAACGGCAGGGGTTAAATACATATATCAGATTGCAGTTTCATACATGATAATGTCAAGCAAGTTTGTTTTTTGTGTGCTGTAGCCTGGTATTCCTTCCAGCAGATACCATCAAGAAACTACACAAATGAGAAAGTAATGTTAGCCCCCCCCAGCCATGCCCCCACTCCCAACACATGACCTTTTTCTGTTCTCATCCCTTCCCTTCCCTGTGTTCATGCATGCAGATTAACTTGTGATGCCGGTATTTTCTCATTACAGAAGGGGAGCGAACGCATAATCAGTTGCATTTTTTTCAGAAGTGGCCGGTAATTTCA